TCTGTCTGACACTGAAAATCCGTTGTATTGTAAAATTCGTTATATCAAAATTCGTTGTAGAAAGAGTTGACTGTAGGAGTATAGTCAGAATTCAATATAATAAACTCTTCAGTTCACTGAAAAAAGTCACCATGTCAAAATTTAATATATTTGATATAATGATTTTTATATATATTCATAAAGAGAAAATTTTAAAAAATTATTTATCATGAAATTTATTATTTTATATAGTTATTCTAACTGTAGTTTAATTGATAATAGGTTGTCTTAGAAAATAATAAATAAAATTGAAAGCTAGAGGATATCATTTGTGATTTAACAAAACATTTTTTATGCAGATTGAATGGAGTTGTAGTGCCTTATAGCTATAAGGATAAGGAAGTAACTCTAATATCTGTTCGTTCGATTCTTATAATCACTGTGTGAGATGCAGTAGCCCTGCTTTGGACATACAACATAAGTTAACCTTTAAAGGTGAAATACAATTACAAGTTAAATCTTCAGAAATTAGAAAACTTAGTCATATATCTGGAGAAAATGCAGTTAGTTCTTATAGGCAAATTACTGAAAATTATAGAAAGAAAGAAGAAAGTTTTTCTAATTACAATAATTCTCACATTTTTCTGTTCAGAAGGGAAACATCAAGAATTACTTTTTTGGGGTTTCAGTTTGTGAAAAACTGGACAATAAAAGAAAAGAAAATACAAGCATTTATGATGAATGAACTAGCAGTGAAAGAGAAAGTAAAAGTAATGAAAACAATGTATTTAAATGTCAAAATTGAGAAGAGATTGAAAGGTTACTCACAATTCTGAAGTCATTGTTTAAAGTCAGTATCTTGAAGGATTTTTCATGAAAAAAAGATTATCTTAAAACGTTATGCTATCTTGTTCTCTAAAACAGTATGCCTAAATAGAGAACTGATACTCCTATATCTTTTTTATACAATATAATGAAGATGACTCATTTGGCAATAATACTACTGTAGCTGTCGAAATGATTAAGAATCAATCAGACTATTATTATATTATAAAATCTCTTAATATACAGCTACAAAACAGTGATTTTTAAAAAGATTATATCTATAATGATGTAATAAATATTGCATAATATGACTTTAATCATATAATTATTATTTGGGCTTGTTACTGTGACTTATTTTTTTTGGATTGCTATAAACATATATTCAAATTGGATGCTATGACTAATATATTATGGTTTTTCAGAATTTTTTTTTAATATAATATCAGAAAAACCAGTATTATAAGGTGTTTCATCAGATAGAATTGTATAGGAGCTATCTGATATTTACATATATTTTTATTTGTTCTTTATCTTAATAAAACTAGTTTCTTTTTTTTTAGATTTGGGTTTACCAGAAGTATGCAATTCTTACCCTATAAGTGACAAGAAAAAAAAGAAAAAAGGCAAGAAAAAAAACTAAAAAAGGCATCATTGATATAGACATATTCTGGATTTTGAATTTCAATTTATGGATTTATGTTTATAATAATTATATTGTACTATATAGTTATTTGTTTCTGGCATTAAATTGCATTTTTTTAATTGTCAAATACTTTTGCTTTAATATAGATGTGTAATTACATTATTATATTGAAAAAAATAAGAATATGCTAATCATCTCTGTATTAATAAAATACTTGACAGTTTTTTCTTAGCAAAAGTGAATAGTGTTATAATTTGTAATGCGTACGTGAATTTTTATTTAAATGTATATATAAAATTTTTATCAATCATGTCTAGAGTTCTAAATGAGTCGAGTCGAGTCGAGTCTAAAGATCAATTCTATTTAACTTTCTTTTTTCAAGTTGAGTCAAGTCAAATTTATTTTATAAAATCTTTCAATTTGATTTGATTCGAGTTATATAAATTTTAAACTTGACTCAATTTGACTCGACTCGATTTTAACTCAATTCGATTTTGAAAAAAAAATAATAAAAAAATGAAAAGATCATGAGAGGACTGGGAAAAGTGAATGATTCAGGTTATTGTTCTTCTTGAATGATTTTTTTTATCGTTCAAGTCAAATGATTCAGGTTATCGTTCTTCTTGAATGATTTTTTTATCATTCAAGTCGAACGATTCAGGTCATTATTCTTCTTGAACAATTTTTTTATTATTCAAGTCAAATGATTCAAGTCATCATTCTTCTTGAACGATTTTTTTATTGTTCAAGTCAAACGATTCAGGTTATCGTTCTTCTTGAACGATTTTTTTATCATTCAAATTAAACGATTTGGGTCATCGTTCTTCTTGAACGATTTTTTTATTGTTCAAGTTAAATAATTTCTTATCATTCTTCTTGAATGATTTTTTTATCATTCAAGTTGAACGATCCTTATCATTTTTCTTGAATGATTTTTTTATCGTTCAAGTCAAATGATTCCTTATTGTTTTTCTTAGAATGATTTTTTTATCATTTAAGTTAATTTGAGTCAATTCGAATCAAGTCAAGTTTAAATCAAGTCGAGTTAAATATTTAACTCGACTTGAATTTAGCTTGACTCATAAATCATCGAGTCAAAAAACATAAACTCAACTTGATTTGAACTCAACTCGGCTTATCTGACTTGTAAGTTAACTCGACTTGTCCAGAACTCTAATCATGTCTGAACTTGAAGTATTAAGACAGCATATTACTGAACTTGAGGTTGAGAAAGCTGAGCTTGAGGCTAAGAATGCTAAGCTTAGAAAAAAAGTTGCGAAATTAGAAGATAAGTAGTTGCAACTAAAATAATAAAAAACTTATTATCTGTATTGCGAAAAAATATGATCATATATCCTGAGCTATATATCTGAACTTTGTATTTATAGAATGTATCGCAAAATAAAAGCTTTTTAGCACTAAATCTAATCTCAGCCAATGACGATAAATTTAGCTAAAGGCATAATTTCAAAAGTATCCACTGTGCATATATGACATTTTTTAATTGTTGAGCTAATGCATTCTAATATCGCAACTTAGGATTAGCTAATTATTAGGCAATATAATTTCTAGCAAAAATCCAAGGACTTTCATATCTAGTTCTTAACTGCAGAGGAATTATAATTATAAAAATACTGGATATATCAAAGGTATATGGTAAGAAAAACAAATAAAAAAAGTAAAATATTCATTTTGCAAACGCATAATTCAATCAATCCTTAAAATATTCTAACAAGTACTCTGCTCCAAATAAATCAAACCAATTTTTTTGAGCATAAAACTATTGAAATATCTTTTGTGACTTCTAAACTAACAAATATCTAATAAACTCTCCAATAAAAAATGATTTTATTTACCTTCAATGCCATCTTATTTCTTATTTTTGTTGCTTTCATCATAATATATGAGCTGATTCTCTGATAACAAATCATATTACGTAAAATTTTATGATATTTTTTGAAAGTTATGCAGTAAAAAATATTTCATTAGTTATTTTTTTACCTTAGTTGCTAATCTTCTGAATTTATTTTATAAGATTAAAATTACTTAATCTCAATGATGATTCTTTATTAGGAATAATATAATTTGTGCAAATGGTAGTGATATAATTAGATAAAAATTTCATAAATATAGATGTTATAATTTATATCAAAAATCTAGTATAAAAAAAGAGTGTGAAGTGAGAATTTCATTAGAATAACGATAGAAAAAAATTAACTATTGATATTTTTTGAGAACAGAGAAATAATTTGATGCTAGGACTTGCATTAAAGGATCTGCATATTCCCTTTCTCTTTGATAGTATTATACATTTTATTTGCTATCTCTAATATTTTCTGAATTTTAAATTATTACTATCAAAGAAAAATAGAGATATATAACGAGATTTCAATCACATGATTAGAAAATATATTATGTAATTCGTATTTGTATAATCAAGATATTTCACAATAATTACATTTTTAATGATATTAGGGTTTTGTCAAAAAATTAAATGTTTTTTATCTTATATTACATATTTTGGACTTAGAAATCAACTAATAATCAATGAAGTTTAACAAAGTTTATTCAGACTTATAACGTGTTCATATAATTAATGAAGTTTAATAAAAGTTTATTCTAAATAATATATATAGTCAATAAGTCTATTATAAATCTTTTCCAGTTTTTCATTAATTATATTTCTTTCTTTCAAATTAAGATCACAATGTCTAATATTTACAAAATAATAGATAACCTTAGTCTTAAAAAAGCAAAAGCTAATAAAATACAAATTAATCTAATTAATCATCCCAAAAAAAAAAAGGTTGCTTTTGGCTCTTAAACACAAAAATGATAATGCTAAAAAGAAATTTTTAAAGGATTTTCTTCATACTATTCTTGGTATATTAGATAAAATATTTGCCATTATGCTGTTTATGACTTATGACTAAATTGTTTTCTGTTTTTTATCACATGTTTGTGAATTTAGATGAATATCAAGGTAAGCTTTGTGTCGTAATGATTGGTCAATATGAATGTAACTAAAAAATCATTTTATTTAAATATAGAACTTAAGAGAATGAGAATCATAAACTTTAGTGCTCAAACTTTAGAAAATTTTAAAAAAAGATCTACGTTAATACTCCCTTAGGTCAATAAACTTGCTGACTTTCTAGAAAGGTTTCTTTCTGAAGATTTAAAGATACCTCTTCTTCAGTATAAATATAATTACTTAATATCAAGTAACTTTAAAGATCAGTATACTTTACAAGACCTTAATATATTATTTCGTATTAGTGAATTTAAACACTCTGTCAGATTTTATAGTAAATTTGTTGCTGTACCTTTATGGAACAATTCACCCTCAAATGTTGAGACTATATATTCATTTATTTCATTCTGGAATATCAATATTTAATATTCTTTGAAATTGCTTCTTCCTAATAGTCATTCTGTCTGAAATACCTCTAAACATATAAGTATTAATAAAGATCAGTCAGATTATATTTTTCTTTTCAGTAATACTTATCTGTTCAAAAATAAAAAGAAATCATTTCTTAATAATGAGGATCTAAGAGTTGAACTTAAAGACAAACTTGTTTGAATTTATGAACCCACCATACATATTAAGTAAGACATTATATCAATTTTCAAATAAGCATAACTACTTATATATTAATGTAGGTTTACTATTGTAGGATACTATACTAATAGGTCTACTGTTAAATTTGTTATTATTTGTTTACTAAAGTTTGGGTCTACCAAACCAGATATTTTTAATATCGCAAAATCTGACTTACAGACTAAAACACAAAAAATTTTTCATTTATGATAGATGATAAATCTAAGTTTAATCATTAAGATGATTCATAATGCAATTAGATTACATAAATTTCCTGAATTTTATCTGGTTAAAAGGTAATTAAAGAATTAAATTGAGATATTTTACGTTCTAATCATATTTTTTTTCATTCTATTTGCAAGAGTAATAAGACTATTGAAGTATGTGTTATGAAAGTTAAAAAGACCTTTACACATTCTAATTCTGAAATTAACTATAGACATGTTAAAAAACTTAGGAATATATACAAAAGATTGGAGGTTAAAGGTATGTCAAATGATGATAAATTCTTTGCATCTTATTGCGACAAAAAATATGAAGCTGTGATTTATTTTAAACTGAAGAGAATAAGAGTCAATCCAAAAAATCAGAAAGAATTTCTTAACGCAATTATCTGCATTCTTGAAACACTTAATGTAAGCATGTAGTAATTGCTAAGTGTATATTTGTTAGCACATTTTTCATTTATGATTTTCTTCAACATAGGTTTTACATAGTGGTATTCTATTAAGATATCAGATAGTCTAATATTGTAAGACTTGTTAATAAAAAATTAAAATAGATCCTAATTGATTGGAATAATTCTGACAGTCTTTCAACTCAACCTGCAAGCAACCTTTCAAGAGATAACTATGCTTCAGAAGTATTTGAGGTAGATCATGACAAAGAAGTTGATATATGAAATATTAAAAATCTCATTACAAATGTGAACAGATAGATTATAAGTCTATTATATGAGATAATCAAATTGGGAGATGAAAAGTAATAACAAACTGACAGTTTATAGGTCTTTATATTTTTTTAAATTCTTAATTCAATTATACTCGTAATAATTTAAAAAAAATTCATTAATTTAAAAAACAAATCATTTTTGCTGATGAATCCCTTACAAAAAATGAAAATTGAAATGATAAAAATATTTTAAATAAAAGCTACGAATAAATAGATAAAGAGAAAGCATAAAATAAATGTTTAAATCAATATGTATTTTTAGCTAGAAGATATAATGCCAGAAATATGGCAAATTTGCATATTATTTCATAATTTGTAAAGTTTAGTATTTATTTAAAGACAAAAATTTAATCTACATCAGACATTGCAAGTGTGTACCAGTTAATAATTTACGATTTTTGTAAAAAATTATTACAATAATTACATTTTAAATATTAATTTTCAAGAACTGAAGTGATAGAATAATTTTTACTGAATCATCAGTTCTATGACAGGATTAATTTTTGCGTAATTATATGAGAAGCTGGAGATGTAAGATTTTTCACATTATTTTTTTTAACTTGATTAATCACCTGAATGAAATCTTACTAAAATTGCGTAGTATAGAATTGTTGCATAGAGAGACTATATTTTTTTTGTGTATAAAAAGTATTGTGATTTACATCACGAAGTATATTGTTGTATCATAAAATATAGTAACATAGTTATTATATCTACAGTTTGAGTTCTCAAATTTTATAATTATTCAATATATTGCAAATAAAAAAAGGTATCACTTAATTTTTTGTGTATGTTTATTTAATACTGCATATGTTCTCTTAGTCATTGACGAAAATTTCTATATTTTAATTTTTGATAGAAACTGAATTATCAAAAACCTTTAAATAGGCTTTAAATAGCTTGGAAATATTAATAAAGTAAATAAAGTATAAATTATTAAATTTCTATTTTATTAATCCTGAATAGTGCTTATTGAAAGGTAATAAATGTCACTTGCATACTAAGTAAACTTTGTAACAACAAATTATCAAATTTGTAGCTTGTGATTTAGATAATTTTTTTTATATTGATCAAATTAAAATATTTAATAACGATAATGATTTGCATCATAATTGACTTATGAATTATATATTAATAATATATTAAAAAATTTAAATTTTAATATTTATATAAAAATACTTTATTAAAAAAAAAATAAAACTTTTATTTTAAATTAAATTAATTAATTTGTAATAATTAACAAATTAAAATTATCTTTAAATTTAAAAGCAAATCATTAAAGAAATAACAAATTTATTTAAAAATAAAAATAAAAATAAAATTATTTATTAAAATAATAAATCTGGAGGTATAAAATCATCATACATATTACTATAATAATAATTATAAGGCCAATTTCTATAATTATAATTATACCAATTATTATCCCATTGATTATAATTATAAAAACTATCATACCATTCATTATTATAATAATACTCATATGATGCATTATTATCACTTTGTGTATATTGAGATAAAGAAGTTGAATTTATAACATTCATTTGTTTCTTTTTCATTTTATCCTTTTCGGTAATCTTATCATTTGCATTCTTTTTATCATCAGTAGAAAATACAACAGGAAGCACCTCAGGAATTTGAACCTAAAAATAATAATAAATCAGCAATGATTAAAATAAATCATATTTAAATTTACATAAAATGAACCTACCTTGATGGTATCTCTTTCATCTAAAAATTTTTCATATGCCTTTTGATCAGTCTCAGTTATTAGTGTTCTTTGATGATGTTTAAATGAAATTTCATCTAAAAAAACGAAAATTTAACTTGTACAAAATTCAAAGAAAAAACACCCTATATATTAAAACCATAAATGTTATCATCTATACCGGAAAGTGGATGAATTCCAACATGATAATTTTCCTTTAAAGATTCAATAAAGTTCATTTCATTAACATCCACAAAACTTATCGCCAATCCATAAGTTCCTAGATATTAGTTGTTAGAAGTTTTGAAATTAAATAAATAAGAATCATTCCTTGTAACAAACCGTAACGTCCAGTTCTGCCTACTCGATGAAGGTATGTTTCAGCATCTTTAGGCATATCTAAGTTCACAACCAAATTTACTCTTTCGATATCAATGCCCCTAGCAATCTTAGAATGAATTAATTAATTACCTTCTTTTTAAAAGGATATCAACCAAAATATTTTATATTTATACCAAATCACTACAGACAAGGACCCTTATCTGGAATCTGCGAGCCTTCGACATTGTTTCAAGTCTTTCTTGTTGATCCAACCCCCCTAGTTATTCAAATAAATCATTTATATTAAATAATTTAAAATTGATATCATTTTCATCAAACAACTCTCCATGCCTGATATGTATAATGACATCCATCCTTGATTTGTCAAATAATTCGCCAAATCAACAGCCCTATTAAAGTATGATTTAAATGCAAATATTAAATATATAAAAAAAAGTTACGTTCTGAAATATATTTTTACTTTTATTTTCAATCAATAAATCACCTTCCGCGATGATTTATGAAAACAATGCACTGATAAAAGGGTACTCTGCCTAAAAGTTCTGCTAATTTTATGAACTTCGCTTCATAAATTTTGAACTTTTCCAGTATATTACTTGTTTCAGGGGATTCAACTAATTGATAATATTGCAAAACTCCTGAAAACAGAAAATTTATATTAATTAACGTTTAATTGTTGGTTTATACTCTTTTTTTTTTTTTCTTTTCTTTTTTTACCTTGTAGACAAGGTGTATCATCTGTAAGCATAATATGGTGTGGATTTCGAACAAAGTGACTAAGCGCTTTCAATAAAGGCTTGTCATATGTTGCAGAAAATGCAAGAACTTGTTTATTAACAGGAAGTTTGTCATTAATTTTCCTAAATAGTTAAAATTAATCATTATCATCATTAAAGGAAAGAATAAAAATAAAAAATAAATAATAAATAATTACTTTATTTGTGAAAAAAAATTGCTTTCCATTAATTTATCTGCCTCATCTAGAACCAGCAATTTCAAATTTTTGCTAGACATATTCTTCTTACGTAAAAGAATATTAATTCGTCCTAAAGAAATTAAATTTAATTAGATAGATAGGAAAAGAGAGATATATTTATAAAACCAAAGACTTACCAGGTGTTCCTATTACAATTTGACATTTTTCAATTTTCGGTAAATCTTTACCAATAGGCAAACCTCCAATAAAGACATGGCAATTTAAGCCTTCCATATAACGACCGATATTACAAATGACTTCCTTTATCTGTACAGCAATCTCACGAGTAGGCGCCAAAATCAATACCTATAATTTATTATTATAAATGTATATGTTTACACATAAAAAAGCACATTTGATATGTTTATCTTTATCGAACCTGAGGCTTCAGATTATTCAAATCTAGCATTCCTAATGCTATAATGCCAAAAACTATAGTTTTTCCGGTTCCAGATTTAGCTTGTGCGATAATATCTAACCCAAGTTTACCAGGAGGAATCGCTTTTAATTGTATCGGTGAAGGACGTTCGTAACCAGCTTCGGATAATCCTCTTATTATGTTAGGATTTGAAATTAATACTTCGAAATTAACGTTTTCATCTATTTGAACATCACTTGTACGTTCTATATTCATAATTCGATGAAGAAATAAATTTGAAGTTGAAATCAGATTTTTATTTTTTTTTTTATTTTTTTTTTTAATTTTTTTTTTTATGATTTGTTGTGCGACAAACAATTAATTTATCGTGTATAGTGATTGGATAATGACAATCTTTGACGCTAAAAATTTCAAAAATTTGTTTTGCAGTGACATTTATTAGCGAGAAGGTGCTTTTTTTCTAATTCTGAGTAATCAAAATGATATAATTGATGTTATTATTAATTTAATCGGCGTAAGGAAACCTGAAGAACAAAGCCGTGGATGATTTTATTAGAAAATGCAGAATGTGAAACTAATCTTGGGATAACGAATAATAAAAACTAAAGTTTAAACGTAGATATAATTGAAATATCACTCTGTTAAATTTTTTAATTTATCGATAATAACTTTACTTACTTATATATATAAATTTTGACGACTAATGCGACAGAAAAAAATCATATTCAATCAACCATTTAAAACAAATAAAGTAGAAAATGTGATTTTTACTAACCTCATTTTTCCGCTCTTTACTCCTTTTTTCCGTAAATTTGTCAAATTTGTCGAGGTAAAAATAATAAGAATCAATTTCATAGTACGTCGTTAATACTTTTTTTTTTTTATTTTTTAGAAAAAAGAAACCAGACTAGAGTTTCCAGGCGCGTGTTCATGTAATTAAAAAAAGTTTTCTTTAGTAAAGAATTTTCTTTTGTTATTTTATCATACGTATATAAAAATCACAAAAGATAAATAACAAAATTTAGCTTTACGAATGACGCAGTAAAATGTATCAAGATTCATAGTAGTTTGAAAGTATAAATAGCAGAATAGTATACAAAATTCACGAAACTTATCAAGCATCAGTTGTTTCGTACCCTCCTTTGACTATACATTGTTGCTCTGGCTCTAACGCTAATGTGAATTTATTAAAACAAAATTTAAGCTACATGCTTTTATTTCTTATTACTATCAGAATAAGAAAAAAATTTTTCAACCAAAATTATCTTGTATATTAAATTTTAATTAAAAATAACTTATTCGCAAGTTTGTGTGTATAAACTTTATGATGATAAAAAACCATAATTTTTTTTCTTTAACAATAATTATATTTTTTCGTCTTTAATGGAATTTTTTTTTTTTTTAAAACTACACCAAAATATTTATGTTTTAAAATGATATTAAATTAAATTTTATTAGAAGTTAAATCATGTAAATATTAAAATCTCAATTGAAAGAACTAACAGTAATGATGATTATTATCTAAAAAAAATTGCATTCACGTTT